TATTATTGCTCGCATTCATTTTTCAGCCAGTATTTGTAACCTGAACGAGATTTGGTCATTTGAAGATAAATGGTGTTACTACGAAGCCGATAGTGCCAGTATCGCACCCAAAAAAAAATAGAAAATAGAAATAGAGATTTGGTCGATTCATGTTTATATTACATCGATGGTTGCAGTGAAGACTGTCGACAACGTTTAGATAAAAATATGAATGTAAAAGAAATATATTTTCGCATTAAAGTCGTTTCGATATTTTGAAATTGACGAGGATAAAATTCGTAATTTAATAGAAGGCAAAGAAAATTTGTTTGTTCAGGGGATTTCTGAAATTTTAAATATATTAACATCAAGAATTCATAAAAAGAAATAGATATTATATCAGAGCTCGAAGTTTGAGATCACTGGCTTACGGAACGAAATTTTCTCGATCGTGCTTCGAGCCTGATTGCACGAATATTCTTGTTAGCATATAATAAAACTGAACCTTGTAAGAAATAAAATACAGCGGTCTCCAAGTTTATTAGTGGGTAAACGATTTGAAAATGTCAATGTTTTAATAAAAAGCGTTGAACTACACTTTAATAAAAAATCAAACAAGCGACGATACTTTGCCAAAGGAAAGGGAGTTGTCGAACGAGAATAGGTGTACTATTTTTCATAAAATTCCATTACATGTTTAAAGTGTTGTTTTAAGTTGTAGTACGAAACGAACATACGGAACGAGCTAATATATTATTGTGAAATACGAAAACTGTCCAGCAAAGGGTTGAAAGTGAGAAACTCGTGACCAAAGGGGAAGCTCGCAGGTGTTCCCTTGTGGCGATGGAAATTTTTTTTCAGACATTTAAGAGGTGATAACAAAGTTTCAAAGTTTCTTGGCACGACTGGTCCCCAACTTCGTTGCTTTATCGCAAAAATTTTTCTCTTGAATACATTGCGGTGAAACTTGTTACTTGAAGGTCTCCGGGGTCGCTAATTACAAATCCGGGGTTGAAAATATGAAATTCTAAATTAGGTGTACCTTAAAGCTACGTGTAAAGTTGCGTGCCAAGTTTTAATAAGATACGTTCAGAAGAAATAATTTTATACGTACTTATTTGGTATACTGTACTCGCCATTTTGAATTTGGTATCTTTAATTTTGTATTAGCGAATCTGATTAATCTTTAATATTCAATTTGTTTTGATTTTCCTTTATAGATTCTTATTTGATATTTTGTGTAAATTCGTGGACTAAAAATAACAGTTAAAATTACGTTTTATTACATTTGGAAATGAGGCCGAGCAAGATATTTAGGATGCTGATTTTTCTTCAAAATATTTTTTTTCCAATATTCTAAGAGTACTCGTTATTGGTACTACCCAAGTATATTTGTCACATTTGGAATGTTCTCAAATATTTCACACTTTCAATATGCCTCGCCTCCTCTCGCGAGCTAGTTCCCTTCCCCCACCTCCCGCCACTCGACCTATTCTTGGGTTGTTGACACGCCTGGAGGGTTTCCCGTCATTTTATTCCAAATATTATACACCTCGAGCCATGTAACTCTACCACGATCGCTCTTCCTTCAGTTCAAAATTCTAATTTTCCAATATTCAAAAAATGGAAAATCTGTATCTATTGTTTGAAAAAAAAAATAATAAAATGATTGAAGCGCAGCGCCTTCCCACTATAAGATTTATGGCCCATCTATCCCAGTGGAAGAAAACATCGGGAAATCCACGGTAAACTGACTCTTCGATCAAATAACCTCCGAGTGTGAAATTTGAAAACGTCCATTATCTACGTGCAGCTGAAATTATAGTAAGAACGGTTCGAAAGATGGATTTAAACTGTTACGTGACTTTTGGCCGCAGGCATCGCTGGGCTCGACCGTGACGCGTGTCAATCTTGGATTCGAATCGGTGGATTGCGTCAGGTAAACGCGCGTAATTTCAAGTAATCGGTTTTGCGTGGTCGTCGATCGGTGCACGGGCATTAAACGCGACCGGACGTTTCTAGCTTTGGGCTCGTTCGATCGTTGTTTGCGTTCTGAGTTTCGACGATTCCCCGTGGCTATGCACACGAGGCGGTACACGTATCCGGAAATCGGTGCTGATGGCAGCGCAACGGTTTCCACGGTAGCGCGCTCGACGCGGAAAGGGACTAAACGTTACCAACCCTGCTACGTTTTCAGCCTCGATTCCCACGATATCCAGGCTTGACCATTTAGAGAGAGTTATGCGCCCGGCTGCAACAGTTGTCGGCACACGGCCAGATTTCCCTCTCCTTTTACCCAATTACCGTATGTTCGTAGCTCTACCCCATCCGAAATAACACTACCAGCGACCCATCGAGTCTCACCTCTACGCTTATCTCGGGCCACCTAAACACTGCCTTCCGGGTCTTTTCGCGCCAAACTACTGGATTTATATTAAACCTAATAATACCGTGATCTAGGCAATTACTACTTGCTCGAGCGTCTGTACGTTTGGTCGCTACTATCGCGGTGTCTTGAAACGCTTACCGCTATCTGCTCTGTCGTTCCTATTATTTCCATTTTTACGTACAGTTAATACAGTTAAACGATCGTTTCGATAAAGACGAAATAATCTTGTACTACCATGGCATTTACGCTATCAGATTTTTGTTATTAGGGTCAGTTGCCCTAATAACGTTACTAATTTGGAACATCGCGATATTAAAGATTACAATTGTCATTCGTTGCAACTAGCGTGCATATGCATGAATTCCAAAGCAATGTTCGTAAAAGAATATTGAGGAAATACCGTAGTCCGAGTTTTTGCAAGGTGATCTTTGACCTAATAATGTACATAATAAGGTAATCAGCTTTGAGTTAGGTCGATTATTTTTTCAAATATGGTCAAGTTTTCGCAACAATTATCGATATTATGAATTTCTATCTCGTAAACGTAATATTTCTAAAAACTCATTCAATATATTATGCTGTTCCATATTACGAGCACTATGAGCCTAATATGGAAAATGAGGATCTCAGTAAAAAAAGTAAATATTTCCTAAACCGTTATTATATTTTAAATTTGACTGTTACCAGTCAAAAGGGCATAATATTTAAATTTTTATAAAAGTTCTGCAAGCAAGTGAAACTTGTGTATACAAAGAAGTATTCCATATTAGGACAACTGACCCTATCAGACTGGGGATGTTTATGCAAATTCATACTTTTATTAATAGAATTAATCAAATTTCCCATAAATGCACAAACATCCACAGTCCAGTTACTATTCATTGATTCGTTGGATTTTCAAAGTACAAATACGAGTTTCATTTTACCGGAATTGCTACCACTTTTGAATTACGTTCCGATTAATGCCTGTTGGGTATTTTACTATTATATTCGTCGATTCCGCCATCCCCCGGAAGCAAACACGATTAAACTGACAGAATCTAGTAAGTTAAATGGGAATACGAAATAATTAGCATCAATATAGGGTAATAGATGCAACGTATAACGTTGCGAACGGACGCTGGTCGATCCTTTATCGCGATCTACCGCTGCTCTCATGATTAATTAATATCGTAAAGACTGGTTGTAACAGACTGTGCTGTAGTGATGGATAGAACATCGTGTAATGATGTTGTGCCGTAAAACGAGAGTTGTATAACAGACTCGACGTATTTACATAACAACAAACACAAATGTTACGACACGAGTGCGCTATGACTGTATTTGTGCATCAAAGCCATCGCAGTAACTAATAGATCCCCTGATTTGTTACTACACGCGGAAGGAAGGGAAATAAATAGTATCCGGCATGATCGATCGTACCTAACAAATACTAAAATTTCATACACACTATCAACTAGTTTCCAGATTTGTCTCTTTTCTTAACACTTTCACGTCCGGTGACACCAACGTGGTACCCTTTTGAAAATCCTAATTTTTTTTTCAATAACTTCGATAAATCACATTTATTTATACGTATAAAGAAGCTAAGTTTATTATGTCGTAACGAATTTTGTGTTTTATATTTGTACATTTTAATGAACAAGTTTGCAAAACGTGTAGGCAACAGAGAAGGAAATTGTTCTGAACCGTGTGTACGTGAAAGTATTAAAAATAACGAAAATTATCGTCAGCTTAGATAATTCAAATTTTATTCGAGATCCGTAAACCATTAGTAAATCACCTACATAAACATACAGGATTTTCTATCAGCCATCGCGGAGATTATACCGTTCCTAATTGGGAACGCCTGTCACAAATGGGTTAATCGTCGTGCATCTGCGGCGAACGCCGTTCTCCAGCTCTCAGAGATTAAGTTCGCAGGTAGAATAGCGTAAAAATAGGAACGAGACGGTTATTTATTCGGTCGACGTTGCTGGAACATAGAAAATGTACGAAAGGAGCGATATCTTCGCGCGTGCCGTCAATCCTAAGACGTTGAACGGAATCGATGATAAACCGCCGGTGAGCATCCCGCCTGACGTAAGTAATTGGCAATCAGGTAAGACAGATTTATGCGTGCATCGATTCTTCCAACGTTCACGTTCGAGGAATATTTCTATTCCTTCGTTTTCGTTCGTTTATTCAGTTTTTCGTTAGTCCTACCCTCCCCGGAAAGATCGAGGAGTATCCACGGTTCCATGTATTTCGAATTAATTAACGCGATTCCGAGCGTGACCGCTTCGATAAAATATTACTGTTTAAGAAACTCTTCAACGTAATATTTATCGACGCTTAAACCGTACGAATTTACGAGAGAAGCGTGAAATTACTTTCGATGTTTCATCAAATATTTGCACCGCCCGTTCGTGCTCGTTCTGACGGTACCTTGAAAATATAGAGACGAAGAAAATGCTTTCCACGGAGATAGAATTGAAAAGCCTCTTATAGAGATAGCTTACGAAGCTTTTCCTTTCTCCTCGCGAGGATATTCCCTGGATCTAATGAACCGGAAACGTAAAATCTGCAGTTATGGTAAAGCGAGTCGATATTAAAGATTGCACGTAGGCTTTTAGTTTGAAATGTTACTCACCAGCTTTCGAGACAACGCCACGAAGATGCGAAGACACGCATAGCAAGCACCAAAGCCACGCGACAGTTATCCTTGCCTGTAAAGAAAAATTAAACGTTAACGAATCTATCGTCGGTGCGATCCAATCGTCGTCAGCGATTATTTTAATGTCTAAATTGCATCGTTTGCGATTACGTTATCTCAAAGTCTCCGGAGCAGCACGGGGCGATCGTAAAGCGGCCTATATAGTGTAAAGAACCTTGATTAAAAATATACATAATTAGTCGCGACTGGCTAGACGCGTACGGCAAAGTTTATAGCGTAATCATCATATGCATAAGCCGTGTAATGAATATTGCTCAAAATGATTTCGTAGTTGTTCGAACTGCCCTACATCAGGCGCAATACTGAAACGTCGTTAAGAGCTTAAACTTTACGACCTCCGGTTGTATATGTATATTTCGTCGTAGAACTTCTCGCTCGAAGAAATCAAAATGCAGCAAAAAACAGGTCCCAGCCAGTGAAAGTCGTGTCCCGGCTGGAAATACGAGATGACCGCAAAATTCAGCCGCGAATCGTACGATCGAATGGATCCCAAACGCGCCTCGCCATTGTTCTCGAAATATTTCCCCGACGAAATTCAACGCTGGCAATTTTAACGAAACTCGCGAAATATCGATACAAAGATTCGAATGTAAGTTTTAACATGATATTCAAAAATATAGCAATTACCTTTATCGAGAATCAATTTATTTTTAAATTTAAGCAACTGTAATTTCTTGTCGGTTAAATACTGATTAACATTCGAAAAATCGTGGAGACTAGTTCGTGACTCACCCTGTATAGATATTGAACAAGGTTTTTTCTTTGCTGTGGAAATTGGAATATACTATTTTTTATTTTATAGTAAAAATAAAATTTCCAGATCAATGTTTCTCAAACTGATTTGTCAATTTTCTAAGTAATTAAAATAAAAAGGATTCTATTTTTTTGTTATTTTTCGCCTAGAAATATATCGAACAAAATAATTATGTGAAATTTCTGAGAGTTTTCTGACAGTTTCGTGCCTCAGCGTGTTTACGCGTCTGTTAATATGGCATTACACGATTAAAATAAAAGATAGAAAAATCAATGAATTTTTTAGTAAGAAGTAGAGAGATTGACGATTAAATCGTGTGTTATTATCGAGCGTTACAAAAAAGCCTGGACCGGGGAAGGATGAGGAACGGGAACGACCGGTTGCCTATTGTAATTGCGGTCTCGCCCACGAATTATTCTTCCCTGGGTCCCGTAACAACGCTGTTTCGAAAGTCGTAAGTGTTTTCGCGCCGACCCGGCGAATATAGATTCTCGGCGTAGCAGGTACGACGCTCGACCATGAATACTTAACGAGGTATAACGCGAGGCACATCCTCTCTCACGTTTTCCGCGGAGAATTTCATAAGGAGCCAGGATCAATATAGCGAACTAGCGCTCGGACTATGTGGGGTCTATGCTAATGCTTGGTCGATGCGCGATATGTAATAAGACTGTGTGTACCGAACGCGAATAAAAGTACTGGACGAAGGGAAACAATGTTATCGGCACCCGGCGATCTTCGTCCGTTTATATTCGGTCCTGAGGCGTCTCTCACCTGGACGAGCGCGGTTCTCATCAGCGCGCGTAGAGCACAATGCCTCTCTTTTGCCAGGATATCGATAATGGTCAGCACTTTGCAGCCTGTCTGTCTTTTTTCACCGTCGTGTACGCACACGGGGACACGTAATTTAGATCCTGGCCACTGGTTCGCGATAATCGGTGCCTGGCAATTGATACGTTCGCTGCTCGATTAATTCGATTAATGCTACAATGTGCTCCCGTGGCTGCAAACCTTTGGATAAGTGTCCACGTAACGTCCAATGATTTCTATTGTCGCGTCGGCTCCCATGCTCGCCACCAGAGGGGTCGCGCTCTCACAAGCGCTCTCAATATCCCAGTCATCTAAGGCAGGGCCTGTTAGAAAGCCTTACTGATGAGTCTACTAGCAGCGCCACACTATATTAACGCTCGAACGTTCGGAAGCTCGCATAAAATTATATATAATTGTTTTTTTTTTACTGATTTCTGGTACTAGATTAGCATTACTATCGCTATTGATAAATTTCACTGTCACTATTACCTTCACTACCTAACAGCTCGTGAAAAACTTTATTTTATTACAATAATTACAAAACGCTATACACAATATGTTCAAGTAACGATGATCTAAATTTGAGCAGGGCCCAGAATACGACTTGGCATTTGAAGACCTCACAGAATACTGTCGAGAAATGCGTCCTCAACAAGTAAACACAACTATCGAAGAGACGAGCGCTTGCGTCTAGAGGGGGGTCTGAACAGACCCGAGTGCCGTCGTCCGAGTGTTAACTGTGTTATTGTTTTCTATATTAAGGGGCCATTCTACTTTGTAGGCACGAAAAATACATGTTTCTTTGTGATTTTTTTTTACGCACTATTAAAGACAGATTAATTCCAGGTTTTGTAGATACATTTATTATATATTTAGCTATATTTACGAATTTTTGCAACGTATAATATCTATTGATTACGCTGTTTTTGTTAATCAATAAACAACAGTTTTTACGAACAGCACTCCGACTACGTATGTGATATCTTGCGAACAAGTTATCCGAAATCCAAAAACCAATGATATTCTTAATGTAGATGAGTGTGGTTATAACATGAACTAGAATCTTTTCAAAGAAACAAAAAATGGCAAAATGACAGCTATTTTACGAAAAAATACTGAATATTTTCATATATTCGGTTGCTTTTTTGTTAATAAAAGAAGAAGCATTGCATATATCGCAATTATCCTAGTTCATGCCATTGGGAGACCAGTTCTAAAGATACTGTATAAATTTCATGTTGATATCTTGAATAGATTTTTCGTTATCACATACGCAGTGCTGAAAAATGTAGTTTCGAGAAAAACAGCTTGAAAGTTTCACGTCCAGTTGTTATACCTGCACGCGGTACATTTCAGCAAGCTATAACTTCGTTAGTTTTTCAAATTTCAATTTAATATTTGGTAGATATATATTTTCGAAACTACATACTAAAAGAAAATGAAAAAAAAAAACAAAAAAATTCGATTTTTTTAATCCCACAAAGTAGAAAGGCAACTTAAAGTTTTACGTCCAGTTATACCTGCGCGTGGTACATTACAGCAAGCTATAACTTCGTTAGTTTTTAGAATTTCAATGTAATATTTGGTAGATATATTTTCGAAACTACATATTAAATGAAAATGCAATAAAAAACAAAAAAATTCGATTTTTTAAATCCCACAAAGTAGAAAGGCCCCTTAAGTCTGTTGTTCCTCAAATTTCACCTCTGATTTCATCTCTGATCTCAAAGAACTAATTACAATTTTACACATGGATAATGTAAACTCGTGACTCGCGTTAGATGAAGTCTTCGTCAGAATCCAAGCATAAAATTGCAATTATTTCTACGTACAGTTGTCTCAATGCCGCAAGTTTTCCTCGTCAAAAGTAAACCGATACTTTCTCAGACGATCTTATTCATTATTTAAATAAAAAATATAAATTGCGTTGGTATTGACAGCATCGATCAAGTACAATGTTCGCCGTTACTCCCAACCACCGTGTTTGTAAAATGTAATTGACGCAACGAGCACGAATATCTTGCTACCGTATACGCATCCGCGGTTTACGGGCGGCGCTTCTGATAAATCATCGATAATTTGGCCCCCTTTGTTTTCACGAGCTTCTTGCGCCCGCGGAATACCTAAGTACTTAACCAGATACTTTCCACGTTTTCCGCCGACCGGCACGGCCGATAATTCGTTTCGAAGATGGAAGCTTCGAGTGCGCGCCGTAATTCTCAAGAATTACATCATTAAAATCGTTCAGGATACAGCGAAAGATTGATGAACGAGACAGACTATGATTTAGTAGCGCGTAAACACAACTGCGAGCTTGTTATTAACATCGCGATAATATGTGCAAGAACGGGATGCAAGAAGTACGCGAAACGTGGTAGAAAGTTATGGTAGATCCGAGTTTTCGACGATAAACTTTCGCTGTTTCGAATTTAAATACCGATACTTCCGTGTTATACTTGCAAACGCGTGGCCGTGAATCGCTATGCTTATTTCATAATTTATTGCTTTGTCGCGACTAGAGTTTTGAACGCAACGGTGATATATTCCCGTAATTAAAACATAACAGTCGTGCACGTTCGTTGCCTTTTAAAATATACGATTTTGCGCTGTCTGTATTATTTTTCAATTAGACGGGGAAATAATTGGAATAATGTTTGGAATAAATTTCACTGTAATGATTCGTGCGTAGGTATCGTGCGTGTCTTTGTATCTTTTTTATTTACGAAAGAGACCTCTAAATTATATTTTCAAATTTAGAGGCTCGTACGCGTGGGAGTATCTTTGGGATTTTACGTAAATATTACCTGCTTGTACAGAATATATCGTGTCTCTTAAAACTGTTCGTTCAAAAATAACAAATTTATTCAAGTTGTGTATTATCCGCGAGGCGAATAGAATTTTTCCCACGCGCAGTATAAAGGAGAAAATTCCTTGTTGAGTCGTATCGAAGAAGACTTTCGCGCAGAATGCAATAAAGAAGTTTCAGGACGATAAGAAAGTAAGTAGATTGCCGGGTTACGCAAAATTCAGAAGAGAATTTCTATCTGTATCAAAGTTTATACACTGTTTATACTTCTTACACCAACGTTCGTTTTTCAATGTCCGGAGAATGGCGAGTACGACGTTGCCTTGTGGTTTTTGTCAAAGATTACTCTTATTCCTCGACCGTAATGCAATTTGAGAATCTCTGGTGGCGGATATTTTAAAGCACTGACATAATATTATAACGATAATCCCGCGAAGAAAAATTTAAACGAGATCGTCAAAAAGATCGAAATATTGTTCGGTTTTCGTTAAATTAGCTTCTTTATCGCTATCAGTTTCACCGAATACTCCTTATTAAAGACTATACAAGCGAGGGAAGCAAGTTTCGCGACCGCTTCCGCGCGTGGGCGATGAGTTATTACCGCTTCTGACTGCCTGACGTG